ACTAATATAACAAAACCTAATTAAGGTTACTTTGTTATAAATAATAAAAGAATTAGTAGAAAAAAACAAAAAAAACAGTTAAAAAAAGATTAAGCATAATAGAGCAAAGCAAAAATGCAATAGCAATAAACTTGTGCCAGAAACAAACCAAAAAAATCAATAGCAAACAATAAAAATAAAAGAAACCCAAAAAATTATACAAAAAACAACACAAAAAAAAAATAAAAAAAGAAAAACCAAATAAAAAAAAAATACAAAAGAGCAACAATTCTTTACAAAAAAAACAGCTATGAAAATAAGTTATAAAAACAATAATTAAACAGAAACAAAGCAAGCTTTCTGGAAACACAAAATTTATTAAAATTAGTTAAATATTTATCAAAAAATATTGGCTTAAAGTTTTAAAAAACCTCAAAAAATCATTGTTGATTAGTATTCTAACCCAGAATTTTTATAATTTGAAATAAACTGAGTTGCTATCAGGTTTTAATCTTGTAATACAGGTTGTAAAAAATTTTATAAGAACCTGATCTTTATTTCAAATGCCAATATTAGCATTAAGAGTTCTTAAGCAGTTTAATATATTTGCTATTAATTAATTAATTAAAGTAGTTTTACTAAAATTTATGATGAAAAGTGTGGATATTAAATTTTAGCTAATCTACAAAAAAGTATGAATCTAGCATGATCACTAAAATCAGTTACTAACAGAGTTTTAATGATTAATATGATGAATTCTATATTATTAATATGTAAATAATCTGAAAAAAATAAAAGATTTTTAAGAAAATTTTTTTTGAAAGGGATGGGGTCCTGTAGCCTAGTGGTCTAAGTATCTCTTCCTCTACAGACAAAATTGATAGTTCAATTTTAGCTAAAGGCAAAACTCTGTAATCTATAAAAGCATATGAATATATATAAAGCTCTGTGGTTTAAGTTTATGTAAATAGAAGATTGGTATATAAGAAAGTTTCTAAAAAGAAGTTTTCTAATATAGAAAGTCAGTGCTTAATACAAAAGAAGCAGTGAATATATCAGAAATAGAGAAAAAGCACACTAGCAAGTGATATGATAAATATAAAAGAAAACTATGAAAAAGAAATAGACTTATTAAAACTCGAACACTTCTGGCACCAAAACCAGTTTAGTGGATATAGGATATACTAACATGGATAAAATCTAAGGGGGTAATCTTGGTATTATACTTAGTAGGTTTGTGTCAAGGGTAAATTCGAAGGACTATAAATATTTGGTAACATCCAATGAGGTGGTACCTTGATATAAATAGTAATTAGATAGCCCTAATCTGGTATGTCCATATGGTAATAGAAGGTTGTAATATATAAGATTGAAATTTAGAAAGTTTAAATAGAGGATTCACAGGTGGATCTTAGATATAATAACTAGTAGGTAACCTTCAGACAAAACTCTTAATTAGATAATGACTAAAGTTATATATATGGCTAGTTATACTTTCATTGATAAACTTTATATTAATTAATAATTAGATATTACTCAATAAAAGACAAACAGACAAGATAGCTACTTATAATACAAAAAAAAAAATTTTTTTTGTATTAAACAGTTAAAGAAGGTATAGATTCAGAAAATGCAAAACATAATAATTTTAAAATAATGAAAAATCTTAATACACACTATCAAAAACACAAAAGAACGACAATAAATAATAAACAATACATATTTCTTTGTTCTTATTTTTTTAACAAGTAGTTTTTTTTTATTAATTCTCTTAGAAAATGGATATTTATTTTTTCAAAGATATATTTATTTATTATATCCATTAATTAAAATTCTAATAGTTCAGATTTAATGAAATTTGATTATTCTCTTATTATAAAAGCTAAACAAACAAAATGAAAGATAATAAGTGCATTTACACTAATTAATCATTTGAATATGAATTCAATTATTTTTGAATTAAATAATATAGTTAAAGCAGATGAGACAAATGCTAAGACTAGAAATTGCAGAAAATTATAAAAAAAATCTTTTATAATATATAATATACAGTATATTAATTGTATTTTGTTTATTGTACTTTGTTTATATAGAGATTATTGCAATTGTCATTAACAATAACTTGGTTATGATATACTTCTTATGTGAGTACCTGGCCATTTTATGCATCCTGTTGGGTCATTTTCAAACATGGTATACAAATTTCATTCACTGATAGAAGATGAGAAAAATTTATATTTATATATTAGAAGTAGCTTAATAACATGTATAAAAATAGTCAGATACTCATATAAGAAATATATAATAAAGAATTACTATATATGATAGGCTAAACTACCTCTTTGTTAGATTACATGAATATTTTTATAGTGCATATCAGATCATTCAACAATTACATTTATTGGTGCATCACTAATTGATCAATAATTGTAACAATTACTATTATTATTTGTTAATAAATTACAAGTTAATTTTGATGATTTTAAATTTTTACTAGAACAGATTTTGTTATTTCATCGTAAATTATGTTTTTTTTACACTTTTGTTTTCTTTATATAATTATAATAAAATAGGTTTATAAAACAAATAGATTTTGTAATTGTAATAAAAAAGATTCATAATTATAATAAAAGAAATTTAACACAGTTTTTAACAAAAGTAACTTTTGAATACATAAATGATGTAAAAATATTTATTTATTTTTTTTAAAAAAATTAACTTTCTTTAGTAATGAAAATACCTCAAAAATCTGTATAACAAATAAACTAAAAAAAAAATAGAATGTTTGTAAAAAATTAAATATTCTTACTTACTATAAACAAAATAAAACAGATCTAAGTATTAAAACTGTATATAAAAAATTTAATATTTAACCAAATCAATTACATAACTGGATAAAGCTTTACCAAACAAATCCAAATTATATAATGAATACACACCTTATTATTTACAAATAAAAAAAATTTTATATAATTAAATTATAGATCAATAATGAATACAGAATTCTGTAACTAGAGAAATAATATTTACAAAAATGGTTTTATTTACCCAAGCTATAAATTTACAAGATCAATCATTTAAATTTTCAAGTAACTGGCTTAATAATTTCTTAAATCATTATAATCTATCAATTCAGTATCGAACAACTATCATGCAAAAACTACCTGAAAATTATGAAAAAAAACAAAACAATTTTCTTAATTATATTTTTAATCTATAGATTTAACACAATTATTCTTTATCTTTGATAGAAAATATGGATGAAACTTCCCTAACATTTGATTCACCAAATTTGTCAACTATTAAAACTTGTGGAACCTATATTATAAGCATTCAAACTACTGGTTATAAAAAAAAGAATTTTACTGTTATTCTTGTATGTTTAACTGACAAAACGAAACTACCACCTATATGCATTTTTAAAAGAAAAACCTTACCTCAAGAGAATTTTCCTAATAATGTTTTTGTTTGAGTAAATGAGAAAAGTTAGGTTAATGAAAATGAAATGCTTTGGTGAATTGAAAATGTGTGGTCTAGAAGAGTACCTTATAATTCAAGATCTCTTTTAATACTTGATTCTTTTCATGCACACCTAATAAAACCAGTAAAACAACAGTTTCTTGTTCATAATACAAATATAACTGTGATTCCTAATGGACTTACATCTAAATTACAGTCATTGGACGTCAGTAGTAATAAAAGCTTTAAATCAAAAATTCGGGTACTTTATAATCGTTGGATGTCAGAAACAATCCACGATTTAACTCCCTCAGGACGTATTAAACGACCAACTTATTCACTACTTGCCTCGTGGGTGGGAAGTGCTTGGGATTCACTTGATCTAAATTTAATTCAACATTCATTTAATTGTTGTAACATTTGATTTTTTTTTTAGTCGGTTATTCAGTATTGTTACACAAATAAAAATAAACTATCATATGCACCATTTAAATATCCGCATGCCCAATACTTATATTATGACAGGGGGGTGGTTTAGCCCGTCGTATACGGTATGTTGAACACTTTTTTCATACCAGGAAATCAAAGTTGTTTAAAAGTCTTACTGTAACAATAAACACTTTCAATTATATTATAGGATATAATATTAACTTGGAGTTTCGCTTTTTTTTTTGATAAAATTCGGAATTTTTTATTGAATCATTTTTTATTTGGTTATGCATTCGATATTAAAATCGTCAAAATTCTGTAATCAAAATTTTTAATTCAAATTAGGTACGTAATTGATCTTGGTGGTCATGCTATGTTGTTAAGAAAAAGTGGTCTGCCGTCTTTTATTCATCGAATGATTATCAGTTAATTCAATTTCGGACTAATTAAAAGTTACCCAGTCACATTGAGAAGCTTGAGAACATTCTTTGAATAGCAAAGCACTCGATAAATTATGCACCAAATCTGTACTATTATTCAGTGTTGTTAGACGTTAGACGTCTTGTTCGTTGATAACTTTCGCATCCATTTATTACATTACGTAATAAATTATGTGATGCTACAATTACCGTCGAACAAAGCGTTTAACAACACTGACTTTTACTGTGATACTTGATATAAGTTTTGATTAGTTGTATATGATGCACCCAACGTCTGTAGGCATATAAAAGAAATATACACGAGTTGCGGGGCCAGACTATATTAATATAGTCGGATGTCTAGCTTCTACATAATTTTACCCTGTTTCCTATATTTCGCACTATGTACATCATCTAACCACTTATACGACTTCATAAAAGATGGTCGGTAGTTCTCCCACAGGAAATTCCCCCCTAGAACGAAGATCAGGTGTAATGAAATCTTTAGGGTTAGGATTAAGTCGCGTTAGGGGGAAATTTTTTGATTAACAGAAATAACTTTTGTAATAGTATGTTACACTGATGTCAATATTATTAGTACCAAAAAAATTCATGCGTTGACTTAACCATGTCATGTTTAAAACAAGAACCACTTTCTGAATTATATACTAGATTAATCTCATATATACAAAAAATATTTTAATTTTTAATTTGCTAACCCACCGATTCTTTTTCATCTTTGCTTTCCAAATCTTCCTTTTCCAATAAATAATCGATATCTCCAACCCGCCAATTCCAATTTAATGTTATATCACTATGCCCGTCTGTTGTTTTACTCGAGCTTATCTTTTCCGTAGGTTCAAAATATGGACTCTCAAATCGAAATAATACAATCCTTCTGGTTTTATCATGAATTAATGTCTCATTCTGTTCCGATTTTAACGTATACATAACGTCCGCATCTACTTCCATGTCCACTTTAAAATTGATAACCGATGCATAATTTTTTGCTGCTGAAAATGAAATTCGAGATTTTCGTTCAATATTAGACATTCCTTCCGAAATTTTCGGAACTGCTATTTTTGAAGCCATCCATTGAATAATATTATAGTCCCGATTTGTTATCACCTTTTTAGGAGCAATTGTGAACCAAATATCACGAATACCCAAGCCGTGAATTTTTTGCAGTTCAATTTTTATTGTGGATTTCTCTTTTTCTATTTTTTCAAATTCGGAAATGTAACGATCGTATAGCCTTGGTGTAAACATTTGTTTCAATTGTTCTTGATCTGTTGGACTTGATAATGCGTCGCAAACTTGATATATGGCGAATGTTACTAATGGTTTAAGTAAGACGATTAGTTTATGGACATTATAATTATTTTAATCTCTTTAAATCAAAGAAATCAGATAAGATGTCATTTCCACATAATTTATTCTCGGACTGGGGCGACAACTTTATTCATCATACTTTTTTGCTTAAATTCTTTAATAATAATGATAATACCTACCACCTATTATAAATTCTTTTGGAAAATACGCGGATGATGTAGAATCCTTCAGCAAACGAAAACCAAATAATTTACAAAGCTCATGCTGTATAAATGTTGGTAACAACGCCAGCAATGAAAATATTATATCGCTTCCTGAATCTGGTATAGGATATGGGTAGTTCTTTATCCGTGGCGGCTGGTCACCGTAAAGCCATGCTTTAAGAGACAAGTTATTAATGTTTAACATCTGGCAAAAACTTTATCCTTAAATAATGATGTTTGCTTTAGGTACATACGAAAAGTTATTGAAGAACAGGTCTTATCAGGAGGTGGCAACGTATCTATAGGATTATTGATGCCAGCTGGTTCCAGAGGTGGGGTAGGTAAAGGATCTATCGGTGGTTCTGGTGGTAACGGGCTTGGTGACGAGTATAAAGTTTTTGGCTTGAATTCAGTGGAATCATGTGAAGCAAAAGGTCTTTTAACTCTAGTTAAAGCATCAAATTTTCTGTAATTTTGTATTTTAAGAATACGGACTCCTAAAAAAAAAATGTTATGATGGCCTTTGTGCATATCGATATATTGAAACAAGTATAAAGTTTATCGTTAAAAATTCGAAATAGATTATCTAATTGAATGGCTTATCGGTTCTACTTGTCTGATTGGCAGATGAAAAAGATCATACTTTCAAAATGACAAAAATACCGTTCTTGATAGGGTAGAAAAAAAAGCAATTGTATTATGAGAACATTAGCTCTCAGGCCCGGGTGATGCTCCGGGGCTAGGTCCCAAGTTTTTTAGATCTCAGGCCCGTTAAGTTTTTCTAATTCTTAGGCCCAAGCAATGTTTCGGGTCTAGGTTTTAAGTTTTTCTAACTCTTAGGCTTAATGAAGCTCTAAGACTAGGTTTTAAGTTTTTAAATTTTTAGTTTTGAATGATATTTTAGAAGCAAGGGTCTTAAAGTTTTATTTATTATTTAATTAAAAGTTTTCTAGCTCTCAGGTCCAGGTAATGCTTTGAGGCTAGGTCTTAAGTTTTTTAAATCTCAGATTTGAGCAATGCTTTAAGATTATATATATTTTAAAAGTTTTTAATTCTTATACTCAAGCAATGCTTTAGAGTTAGGTTTTAGGTCTTTATTATTTTTAGGTTCAGGTTATATCTTAAAGTTTTATAATTTTTAGATAATGGTAATGCTTTAAAGCTATATTTTAAGGCTTTTTAGTTTTTAAGCCTAGGTAATATTTTAAAACTAGGTCTTGAAGTTTTTTTTTTTTTTCCTTAAACAGTTATACTAGTGCTTTATTAAGACTTTGAAATTACATTTGCAATTACATAAATATTCTTAACAACTAAGCCTAGCATCACCTGGCTACTCTAACAGTACCTAAGTGCAACCTGCTACATTACTTCAAGCAGAAGTAAGTTGCATGTCTGACTATTTAAAGTCCATAATGAAAGGGTCTTCTTTCTTTCATGACAAGCTCTAAAATTGTTTTCTGTACTTCTTTTTCGATTTGTTTATTTTTTTCTTTCACTTTCTCTTTTCTTTCTTCTATTACTTTCTAATTTAATTTTTTTTTTTTACTTAATACTTTTCTTTCTTTTTCTTTTTTTTTTTTTATCTTATTATTCTTTCATTTTTCTTTCATTCATTGATCTTCTTATATCAGATTCTTCATACTTGTTCATAAAATATATCTCAAGCTATTCTTGCTATTATCTTTATAAACTGTTAGTTTGATTTTGTATTTAGAAGCTGTCTTAATCTGTTCTATATTTCTTTGGTCTTCTTTTGTTTAGTTCTTTTAAGATTAGTTGAAGTTTTTTAATTCTTTTTTTTTTTTTTATTATTTTTTTTTTTTATTTTTTTTTATTTTTTGCTTTCGCTAAGGCTGTAGTTATTTGCAGCTATTGCCTTTATTGTATTTTAATTATGATTACATAACTTGTACAAGATGAGTATACAACTAGTCATATATACAACTTTTGGTTGTCTAATTTAAGTAGTCCACCTGCACAGCAGGTTCTACACTAGCTGCCATACCTGCAATCTACTAGAAGATTACCTATTTAAACACTCTGATCCTTATACTTATATTGACAAATAGCACACAAGTTCCCATACATCTAAGTGCCATCTAACCTAATCATGACCTTTCTGTTTGTATATCCATCAAGCTGTTACACATTTCAGAGTACGTCACCTAACTGTAGAGTTTTAGAAGGCCCCTCTGCTAACTAACTACTCACGTTTAGTATCTTGTTAACAGGGCTCGCTCTTGCAGAGTTCACCCAAACCTCAGCACTGACTTCATAGCATATTTCTAGTACTTTAGTATACCCTTATTTCTGATCTCAGACTCCCAATCTAGATAGTCTGGTAGAACTATGACCTGTCTCTGGTACTCCAGAGTCTGCCCTCCAAGGTTCTTTTCCTCCAGTTCGAGACTTCCGGCAGCCTGGTTGGTGGTACCCCTTATCTGAGGTTCTTGCCCACCTGATTTTTTCCATATTAGTATTCGTTTCCTAGGTCTAGCCTTTACAATAGTACTGTCAAAGATCCATGTTATCTCTCTACTTGGGTCTTCCCAAGTGGGCTTCCGGTTATCTCAGTTCACAAATTTACATGGCCACAGATGCTCCATGACCTGCCAGTTATCTGATGTAATTGTGTTACAGGTACTGATCCCAACTGATTGATAGATAACCATCACCATAGTACCGGTTTCAAGAACTTATCTTGTGTTTGCACTGCCCAATGCTGGTTTGCATTTCTCTGTATAACTCTAGCATTGCACAGATAGCTGTATATACTGATATAACATAGGTGGTTTTCCAAATTTTCACCGTCAGTAGGTTTTGAACTTCTAACCTACCACTTAGAGGGTTAACAACTTATTCACTTCACTAAGTTGTCACACCTACTTTTTTTTTATTATTAAAAATTATATTTTATAATGGTTATTTTATTAATATATTAAGGTTAGTATTACAACTAATTTTATAAAAATAAAGCACAGCTAGTTATATATTTAATTTTTAGTTGTTTATTTAAGTAGTTTACTCTAAAGTTCTATATTAAATATTTATAATTTACTAAAAGATTATCTATTTAAATCTTTTGATTATCTGTTTTGTTAATTATTTAACTATTATTATACTAGAGGTGTAGCGATCTAGTAAAGTGGATAGGTTGACAG